TTTGTGTCTCATGAGTTTTGGGGTCGCCCAGGGCCCTGGTCTGATTTCTGGGCAGGATTCACATCTCAGCCACACCGGAGTCACTGCTGCTTTGGGAGGCAGGGAGTGTGGATGGGCCAATGGGATCAGCCTCTGCCTGCCCGTCCCTGGGGGCTGCTGCAGGAGTCCAGGGCAGCTCATTCTTTAGGTGATGCTATCAGAGGGCTCCTGCTGCTCCTAAGGGAGAGGAGTTTACACGACAGTGTGGGGAAATCGCCCAAAGTGGCCCCTTTTTTTCTAACATTTGGCTCAGAGATACTGTTATTTGGAGGATCTGAAGAGTCTGGGGGGGAATCGGGGTGTGACATGGACTGAAGCCCCTTCTCTAACCTCCCCCATCGCCCCTCTCGCCCCGACAGGCTGACGAATCACGTCCACGTTTTGGTCCAGATGGGCCCGTCTTCCAGGACACAGGGAAGGGAAATGTCTGTGATGGAGCCGGCTCAGGTCGGGGGATTTTCAGGGAGCTCCTGGGCAGGGGCAGGGAGGAGACAGGGTGTGATAAACCTGCTGATTTTCTGATTGGGCCCATTGGTGATGGGGGAGGGGAGACAGGACATTCTCCCATTTCTCAAACAGGATAGAACCCCATTACACAGGGCTGGGAGTGAGACCACACTAGCCTGAGGCTGCTGTGAAATATGAAGGAAAGCTGTCTGGATTCCTGTCCCTGGCTCAGAGCTCTGCTTCCCGTATCAGCCTGTGTCTCGCAGGTGTGTGGGAAATGAGAAGACCCTGCAATTCTCCGTGTGCTGGGGGAGACAAGGAGCTCTCACCTTCTCCCCACCCCCTGAAGCCTCCTGCCTTCTCTGAGCAGGATTGGGGAGGGAGTCTGCTACTCTGTCACTCCCAGAGCTTCCATTTCTTTATCCGTCCTCCCGCGTGACTAGTGGGATTGTGGCTGGAGCAGCAGGTGCTGAGTGGGGGCTTTTGGTGTTCCAGATGCCGGTGACCTTCGAGGAGGTAGCTGTGTATTTCACCCAGGGGCAGGGGGCTCTCCTGGACCCCGCTCAGAGAGCCCTCTACAGGGACGTCATGCAGGAGAACTACAAGATGGTGACCTCGCTGGGTAAGGGATTCCCATTCCCTCGGTTATTTGAAGTCATCGGGTCTGCGTATCTGAATCTGGTCAGGTTCTTCCCTTGTCAATCAGATAGGAGGTGAATGGGTTCCATAATGCACAGCTGCCATGTGAGAGAGACTTGCATCTCCATGCCCTCTCTAGTGGGACATGGGTGTCAAAACCCAATGGACAAGATAAACGATCCCCACCCCTCCAGCTTTCAAAGGGGCATAAATCCATCATTGTCCTGTCTGTGTTGTTTGTCAGCTGCACACACAGTCCCTGTTCACCTCCCTCCTTAGGAATAGATCCAGCCATGGGGAGGGCTCTAGTCTCTGTAGGTTTAGAAAGAGACAAGGGTTTAAGTTCAGAGCTGTGTGTGAGTCAGCAAGGCCCCAAGAGCGCACAGATCCTGGGAACGCCTAGTGAGGGTGTAGTAATAATTCAACTCACATCCCCAGACAACTTCCTCTGCGCGAGGGGGCTCAGTGACGATTTTCCCGTCTTCTTGGATTCCACGTTCCTCCACCAGAGCACAGGGACAGGTTCCTTTCATGGAATGTCCTTTCTGACAAATACTCCACCCTGATCTGGTCTGATTTCACCCTCTGCACAGGATTCCCCCTTCCCAAACCTGAGCTGATCGCCCGGCTGGAACAAGGGGAGGAGCCCTGGGTGCCCGATCTCCAGGCCTGCAAGGAAAGAAGGCTTCTGAGATGCACACATACCGGTGAGGTTTGACACAGAAACCATCTAGGGAATGAAGGAAAAAGCTGAGAATCCCAAAATATGGTGTGAGTAAGCACCCTCAGTTCTTCCTCATCTCAGCCAGGACAAGGCTGCAGTCATCAGATATAGCTCACGCCATTCCACCCAGCCTCTTAGCTGCAGGAGTTTGCTTCCCAGCTTTCCTTCCCTGTGAGTGTTTGGGTGAGATGTGGAGGCGGAGTCGAATTGCTCAGTCTTTGTGTTGGGTTTTCCCTTTGTGCTATTCCTCTTTTTCCCCAGCAGAATTACTCCTGTCTCGATTGTGTCTCTCCCAGCAGGTCCTGACCGAGGGAGTGAGAATGAGGTGGGGAATCATCATGAGGAAGTTCCTGGGGAAGTGGAACCAGAGGGGACCTTTGTGGGAAGAGCTGAAGGGAATTTTTCCCAGTGCTTGGAGCAGGCAGAAGCCTGGGGAAGTTGGCACAGGTCAGAGAGACTGCTGGGAAACAACCCAGGGAAGAAAGTGGATGAATCTATTAACGGTGAGGGAGGAGAGGAGGATCCCAGAGCGCCGCAGCCAAATCCCAAGGAAGAGACACCCTGGCACTACCTTCAGTGTGGGAAAGGATTCACTGTGAGATCACAGCTTGTGACACATCAGCCAATCCATACTGGAGAGAAACCCCTTCAATACTTAGACCATGGGGAAAGCTTCAATAAGCAAACAGAACTTAATAACCATGGGAGATGCCACACTGGAGAGAAACCCGCTCAATCCCACGAGTGTGGGAAATGTTTCATTTCGAAGACACAAATAATTAGACATCAGTTAAGCCACACAGGGGAGAGACCCCACAAGTGCTTGGACTGTGGGAAAAGTTTCACAGAGAGGGCAAACCTTGTTAAACATCAGGCAATCCACACAGGAGAAAGGCCCCACAGGTGCTTGGATTGTGGGAAAAGTTTCATACAGAGGTCACACCTTGTTAAACATCAGGCAATCCACACAGGAGAAAGACCCCATAAGTGCTTGGACTGTGGGAAAAGTTTCATAAGAAGGTCAGACCTTGTTAAACATCAGGCAATCCACACAGGAGAAAGACCCCACAGGTGCTTGGACTGTGGGAAAAGTTTCATACAGAGGTCACACCTTGTTAAACATCAGGCAATGCACACAGAAGAAAGACCCCATACGTGCTTGGATTGTGCGAAAAGTTTCATAAGAAAGTCAAACCTTGTTAAACATCAGGCATTACATACAGAAGCAAGACCCCACAGGTGCTTGGACTGTGGGAAAAGTTTCGTACAGAGGTCAAACCTAGTTCGTCATCAGGCAATCCACACGGGAGAGAGACCCCACAAGTGCTTGGACTGTGGGAAAAGTTTCATGAGAAGGTCACACCTTCTTAAACATCAGGCAAGGCACACAGAAGAGAGACCCCACAAGTGCTTGGACTGTGGGAAAAGTTTCATAAGAAGGTCAGACCTTGTTAAACATCAGGCATTACACAGAGGAGAAAGACCACACAAATGCTTGGACTGTGGGAAATGTTTCATACAGCGGTCACACCTAGTTCGTCATCAGGCAATCCACACAGGAGAGAGACCCCACAAGTGCTTGAACTGTGGGAAAAGTTTCATAAGAAGGTCAGACCTTGTTAAACATCAGGCATTACACACAGGAGAAAGACCACACAAGTGCTTGGACTGTGGTAAATGCTTCATACAGAGGTCACACCTAGTTCGTCATCAGGCAATCCACACAGGAGAGAGACCCCACAAGTGCTTGGACTGTGGGAAAAGTTTCATACAGAGGTCACAACTAGTTCACCATCAGGCATTACACACCGGAGAGAGACCCCACAGGTGCTTGGATTGTGGGAAAAGTTTCATAGAGAGGTCAAACCTTGTTCAACATCAGGCAATCCACACAGGAGAAAAACCCCACAAGTGCTTGGACTGTGGGATAAGTTTTTTACAAAGATCAAACCTTGTTCAACATCAGGCAATCCATGCAGAAGAGAGACCCCACAAGTGCTTGGACTGTGGGAAAAGTTTCATAAGAAGGTCACACCTTGTTTATCATCAGACAATCCACAGAGGAGTAAGACCCCACAAGTGCTTGGACTGTGGGAAAGGTTACATACACAGGTCAGACCTTGTTAAACATCAAGCTTTACACACAGGAGAGAGACCTCACAAGTGCTTGGACTGTGGGAAATGTTTCATACAGATGTCACACCTTGTTCAACATCAGGCAATCCACACAGGAGAGACTCCAGAGGTGCTTGGACTGCGGAAAAAGTTTCATATGGAGGTCTGACCTTATTAAACATTGAAGAATCCTCACAGAATCTAAATTTCTGTGACACATGGCAAGAAAGGGTTAAGCAACTTGCATGTAATTGACTCAGGGTCAACATTTAGATTGAGATTTTAAAAGTGTGTCCACCTTAGATAAGCTAGAGTATGAAATGTAAATGTGTATTTTTAAAGACTTGGAAGAAGAGGGCAAGTCATGTCTGAGTAACCTAATTGCCTTCTCTGACGAGATAACTGGCTCTGTGGATGAGGGAAAAGCAGTGGATGTGTTATTCCTTGATTTTAGCAAAGCTTTTGATATGATCTCCTACAGTATTCTTGCCAGCAAGTTAAAGAAGTATGGGCTGGATGAATGGACCAAAAAGTGGATAGAAAGCTGGCTAGATCGACGGGCTCAACTGGTAGTGATCAATGGCTCCATGTCTAGTTGGCAGCCAGTATCAAGAGGAACAACAAGGAGTCTGGTGGCACCTTAAAGAGTAACAGATTTATTTGGGCATAAGCTTTGATGGGTAAAAACCTCACTTCTTCAGATGCAACAGGTTTCGAGGTTTTTACCCACGAAAGCTTATGCCCAAATAAATCTGTTAGTCTTTAAGGTGCCACCAGACTCCTTGTTGTTTTTGTAGATACAGACTAACATGGCTACCCCCTGATACTTGGTATCAAAAGGAGTGCCCAAGGGTCGATCCTGGGGCCGGTTTTGTACAGTACCTTCATTAATGATCTGGAGGATGATGTGGACCTCACCCTCAGTAAGTTTGCAGATGACACTAAACTGGGAGGAGTGGTAGATACGCTGGACGGTAGGGATATGATACAGAGTGACGTAGACAAATTAGAGGATTGGGCCTAAATAAATCTGATGAGGTTCAACAAAGACAAGTGGAGAGTCCTGCATTTAGGATTCAAGAATTGCATTCACTCCTACAGACTAGGGACCGAATGGCTAGGCAGCAGTTCTGCAGAAAAGGACCTAGGGTTTACGGTGGATGAGAAGCTGGATATAAATCAACAGTGTGCCCTTGTTACCAAGAAGGCTAACGGCATTTTGGGCTGTATAAGCAGGGGCATTGCCAGCAGATCGAGGGATGTGATCATTCCCCTCTATTCAACATTGGTGAGGCCTCATCTGGAGTATTGTGTCCAGTTTTGAGCCCCACACTACAAGAAGGATGTTGAAAAATTGGAAAGAGTCCAGCGGAGGGCAAAAAATTGATTAGGGGTCTGGAGCACATGACTTACGAGGAGAGCTGAGAGAACGGGGATTGTTTAGTCTATTGAAGAGAAGAATGATGAGGGATTTGTTAGCTGCTTTCAACTACCTGAAAGGGGGTTCCAAAGAGGATGGATCTAGACTGTTCTCAGTCGTACCAGATGACAGAACAAGGAGTAATGGTCTCTAGTTGCAGTGGGGAAAGTTTAGGTTGGATAGGAGGAAACACTATTTCACTAGGAAGATGGTGAAGCCCTGGAATGGGTTACCTAGGGAGGTGGTGGAATCTCCTTCCTTAGAGGTTTTTAAGGTCAGGCTTGACAAACCCCTGTCTGGGATGATTTAGTTGGTGATTGGTCCTGCTTTAAGCCGGGGGTTGAACTAGATGACCTCCTGAGGTCCCTTCCATCCCTAATACTCTATGATTCTAAGAGGGGTAACTGTAGTAGTCTATGTTTAGCTATCCAAACGGTTCCTGTATTCTGTTATTTCAGGGATCAATAATTCTGCGATTATACCCATCACCCATGCCACTTACCCAATTCCAGCTCAGTCTCATTGAATTCGCTGGGGGTAGATGCTGAAGGATGGAGGGAATATTTATAGCTGAAATCACCAAAATGTGTTTTGCAAGTTTAATGTTAATCGGATCTGTTCCTCTCTCCTGCTCGGACATTTTCTCTGGGGATCCCGGAGGCGGAAAGGATCAGGTGTTACCATGTTTGCTACCAATCCCAACGGTGACTCTCTACACTAACAATTCTTAAACTATGGGGCAGAGCCTCCCAGTGGAGGCACAGGAATGTGTCAGGGGAGGCGCGATCAGTGTGGGTTGTTGGGTTTTTTTTTAAAGAGC